TCTCTCTCTATCACTCAATAAATCTATAAACAGCCATTACAAATAATACCGTTTTGCTATTTTTTAAAAGTAAAATGTTTTATAAATGAGACTGCTATATACAGTATATACAAAAACAATGTTAAGATAATGGATAGGAATCTAACTGTAACGTTTGGTAAATAGTAGTGCTACTGAAGTTAAGAATTGTGAAATAATATGAATATCACCATTAAACATCCCCAGGTGATTACTTGCATTACCCAATTATTTGTTCTATTACAATTGTTTTTTTGTTTTTTTGCACTTGGATATAAATATTTGGGCTTGAAAAAACAATGTTTTTGCTTTAACAAATTAAGACATTAAATAAGTTCAACAAATAAAACGCAGCTTTAGAAGACGTTACTACAGCAGCCCAACAAAAATAGCGTATACAAATATTATCCTGCATTTAGCCTACATGAACAAGTTATCATATAAAAACTGTAAATGTCATGCCTACAAATTTGATGGAGCCACATTGATGTGCTTGCCTCATGGCTCCGGGCCTGTCTCTCTTTGGCAGTCATGGTGTTTGTATGCACAGTTGAGCGCTTCATGGGTAATCGGTCACTGTGGCAAAGAGGATAATACGAGCGGAGGTATCCAGGGGTCAGTACATTACTCCAGCAGACCAGGAGGAAAAGGATACTCATCATAAAATACATTTACTGTTATTTTATTGAGAACTTTTCCTTTATTCTGGGCTTCTTTGTTCCTTGTGTGCTAATTTTAGGGTGTCACAATATACTGAAGACAAAAGCCTGTGAGCAATTTACTCTATCAAAATATGAAATGTGGTTTTGCAGATATGGTGCATCTCCTTTTGTTGAGTGGTACATATTTGCTCTGCGTATATAACCGAACAGTTTGTTTTGTAATATTTGCTCTGCACAGCTTCCTGTGTGAGTACTGGGAAGCTTGCAATGTGTTCCTGTTGTCGTCAGCAACATCAAACACTGATGACATAACACTGTTTATCTGGGTTTAGAGAAACATCGTGTTCTGATATAAATGATAGATAAAAATGTACCTGAAAAGGGAATTTGAAAGTTTAGTGTGTGTTTGTTCTTTTGTAATGAGCATTTATAGGCGGTTATTTTTAACCTTTAGAATATAACATCTCCATTAAAACAATGACCGTTATAAAATGTTAATGTGTTTCCATTTAAGTTATTTTTTACATAGAAGCCTTAAAATAATTGTTACACATTAAGTTTTTTTAACTTCATTACATATGTCTATGATCTCAAGGGACCAATCTGGTTAAATAAAGGTTTGAAATGAAATGAGATGTCACATCCACACATGGAACATTAGAACTGCCTGTTTTTCATCTTTTTTAAATGTCTTCAGGCACGGCTTGTTCCAGCGCTTCCTGTTTCACACCATGCGTAGCCTCTCCGCACCACACATCCAGATGTTGGTCATTTAGTCCGTTGCTCAGAGGCGTCTCTAAAAGAAAAATATTGCTCTGCAGGAATTGTGCGTTGGGTTAGGGTTTTGGCATTCTGCCTGACTATTGAAAATAGCCTTTCCACAACTGATCTAGAAAAAGAGCTCTAGAGATTCAACACTGAGTGAGTCATTTTAGAAAGCCGATAGATTGCTGCAAGAATGAGTACTCAAACCAGGGAATGAGTCAGCATGTTTGCACCGGTTCTCTTGTCTTGAAGGTGCCTGAAATCAAGTATGTGTTTAAGAGTTTTTCAAGTTTTTTTTATACAGTGTACGACATAAAATACCTCACACTCTTGGATTTTGAGGCCTTTACATTTCTACAAAAAGGCCTTTGCTAACAGGTGCCTAAATGAGACTGCAGATGTGTTGGGGACATTAAACATCACCAATATTTTTAGATTTATAGTCATTTCCAATTATTACTTCTTTGACTTCCCAAACATGAAGATACAAGTTAGAAAATAATTGGTAGTGATGTCGAAGTCATGTGCTAAAGGTTTCGCTTTTTTTTCTTTTGGTGATTTCATTATCGCTCATTATAAAAATGGTGGTTATTTGGGAGGACGACTCGATACAATTATTGTAAACTTCATTGAGTTCTCAACCACAGAAATTAGTTAGCATGTTTGCACTTCTGTTCACTTATGTTGAGGTTTTGAGGTGTCTAAAAAAAGGTCTATGGTTACATAAGCTTTTGATTATTTTTTTCTCTCTTACAACATAAAATACGTCATTCAATTTTCAAGCGTTCACATGTCTTCACAAGGTGGGTGCCTGAGATTGCATGAGATTGCAGATGTCGATAACATTTAATGTTGTCAATAGTTCGCCTCACAGCCTTGTGACTTTGTTTTAGTTTCTAGTATTTTCAAATGTTAGTTTTGTATCACTTTAAAAAAAAAAAACAAGATACAAGTTGGAAGCTTAGTTGTGGGGATTGAATAGAATAGAATTGGAGGGATGAAACCCTCTTTAATGGTCACACATGCAGAACACACAGCACACACAGTGACATCTGTTCTCTGCTTTTAACCCATCCTAGTACCAGGAGCAGTAAAGTCATGTAGTGTAGTTTACACAAGGTTAAGCTTTTTCATTGTAGTGATTTCATTCTTAATAATAATAATAATAATAATTAATGGGATTTTTATAGCGTTTTTCGTAATGCTCAAAGACCCTTTACAAAAGTCCATTTGTGAAGATTTTCAACAAAATGTGAGCAATTTGTCTTCCATGATCAAAAATCCGATTTGCTTATTGTTGTGAGGAACCAGAGTGATGCTAGGTGTATCTTCCCTGAAGAGATCAATAGGCAGAGGTGCAGTTGCTACTGTGTCTAAATCAGTATCTCCACTAATGGCCTTCAACAGCTGAATTTTCAGTACTCAGTTCATAGCAGCCTTATCTAACACGGCTTGGCAACAGTCTTTCTGTCATTCACACTAGATTTTCACAGCACATGCAGGTGCCGAGGTTTTCAGTTCTCCCCTACTCCCTTCTGTTATTTTACTGCAACAATGATCCATAAAGCTACAGAACACATCCTGCACTCTTCCCAATAACAGCATTTTACTGTGAGGCAGTGGTTGGCTCATACTAAAATGCCACTTAAATGCAATTTCTTTGTTATTTAAAGGTATAACAACTCTTATACTAATCATTCTTTGTCTTGGAGTGCATTGGGTTTCATATCAAATAGAGGTAGATGCAAATCTGTTCTGATCCATAATGAATAATGAGTGTTGTGTATATAAGATCACAAAGTAATGTAATTCTTTCAGGCATGTTGAAGTGGCATGCAAACCCAGGAATTCCCCAACGCTTCATCTCAGCTAGTCAAAGCTAAGAGAGTGACTATAAACAGTATGTCCAATCCATTCTGCACCACCGTTCCTCTCCGCCTGCAGTCTCCGCTCCTGCAGCATGAATAAGGCAAAAGGCACTTAAACATCCAACACCCGCCCCATCAGCCGTATGAAAAAGCAGAAGACAGCCTCTCCTGCGTGCCAAGCTCAGGAGATGTATAGTTCATGGATGAAAATATTTGGAGCTTACATTACAGCTCCTTCACTTAGTTCTGAAAGCTTGTTTAACTGCTGACAAGTAGCACTTATTTTTTGTTAAAACCGCAACCCATCTTTAAAACTGAGTGTTTTCAAGGTACAACACATCCAATTTCTTCCTTCAGTGTTGGTCAAAACTAGGCGATCTCAACTTTTCTTGGACAGTATATTGTCACCAAAAATAAGGGCAATAAAAGATATAATGGTATTTGAAGAGAAACTCCCTCTGGAGGGAACTTTGGGGATGTTACCCTTTGCAGCCCATTTACATGCACAAATTCCTATATAACACACTTCAAAAGAATAATAGGGCCTTTTTAAAGGAACTACAAAATTAAATAACCCCCCGAAAAAGCATAACATTTTAAAATACCCCCCTGTAATTGTAAAACACCTTGGAGAGAAGACAATAAGATGAAATTGTAAGATGATATTAGCCTGACGCACAATACCTATAATACATTACAAACTAGGGGTGGGGGAAATAATCGATACAGCATAGTATCCCGACACTTTGCGTGGCGATATTGTATCAATACACGGATACCAAGTATCGTTCTTTTATTTTATAAACATTTTATTTAATTTTTTTTAAAAGATGGTCGTATATAAAACAGGAGTTACGTTAAGACATGTATACAATTGCAATGAAAGTAACAAAAACAAAGAGTTGTTATCTCCTTTTCAGGTTCAAATAACACAAATTGGGTTAATTACATAAACTATTCATATTCAAATACATTTTTTCACCAGGAAGGGAAGACGGACATGGATATGACCCATGTCATTTGCAATATCGCAATATATTGTATCGCAATACTTAGCATATCGTAGAATCGCAATACTATTGTATCGTGGCTTAAGTATCGCAATAGTATCATATCGTGGGAAGCCTGGTGATTCCCACCCCTATTACAAACCGAAAGGCATATCATGAGAAAACGTTTTATTTGTATCTTTATGCAGTTGTATTACTATCCTCTTTCACACAACGACAGATTCTCCTTTGTTCCTGCACGCTTACACTCCTCAAGTAACAATGATGACCTTTAGTTTTTTCCTGTGCTTAACACCATTGATATGCAGATAGTGTAAGGAGAGCTACACCGTGTGACACCACGTGTGTGGACCTGTGGATGTGTTTACTTTCACTGGATTAGACACAATGAGAAGATCAGTTACAACCTTGTGATACACGGGGTGTTAATAGAGTTACCTCTTGATCCAAGACTTGTTTGCAGCTGTCTTTTGGTTCTTTCATTAGAGATAAAAAAATACTTTAAAAAAAAAAGTGTTGCAATGTTTGTATTGACATGACTGCGGGAATTCTTTTATTTGTCTTTGAATTTTTCTTTTGGCACATTCAATATCAGTATTTGTGAAATTGTGTGTTTTTCTTTTTACTGTTCTTAGCTAGAGATATTAAATATATCCTCTGTTTCATCTGGATTGCAGTCATCCTGACAGACGAGGAGGTTCAGAGGAAGAAGGACATGATCATGAAGAGGAAAGAGGAGGAAGCAGCCCGTGAGGCGATGAGGCCACGTCTAAACGAGGAGCAGGCCCGCATCATCTCCAGTCTCGTGGAAGCCCACCACAAGACTTACGATGCCTCCTATTCCGACTTCTCCCGCTTCAGGGTGAGTCCAGCACAAAGTCTCTTCTTTTACCAAAACCACAATCATATTATCCTCAGTTCAGCCCTAAGTCACTTTGTTGTTAACCATAACTATGGGTGGAGCAGGACATGATGTCATGCAATGGAAGGGAAGGCTCCCTGAAGCATGGTATCCAACCATAATAATACGTGTTATTTTTGAAAAGTAAATTAATACAGAAGCAATATTTACCAATCAAGATACATACAGCACATTGTATGCGAGTTAGCCTTCACTTTATGAATAATGTAGATGAATACTATATTCCTTTGATATCCAATGCTAAGTCCTAAGAACTGATCAAACAAAACAAAACAATTCGACAATAGGACATGGATGCCATCTGCTCTGGTTTACCACACCACAACAGACCTTGGCATTCTCTCTCTTAGTTTGTACCCTAGCCGTAATTGGCTGAAGGTGAAACTATGTAACTGTACTTACTCACCTTCTACCATGGCCACTGATAATTTTCAGGTTTTTTTTGGCTGGATTAACTTTTAGTAACCATACAGTATAACCCAACATCTTTGGGTAATTTGTTTGTACTTCTAGATGATCTCACCATTATTAAACTGAACGCAACGAGTCAGAACAAGTGAGGCTTTGGTACACATCTTGGAGCTAGTCTTTTTTTGTGTTTGGTATTAAATGACTCTTGATGTCTAAACGGATTCAGGAAGAGACTTTGAATGCATTGGTAAAAGGCCCTCGTAGTAAAGGAGTGCACTCTGGCACAAACTGGACTGTTTGCTAACTGAGTGCTGTTGAAACCTGCTTTTGATTTTCTCATAGCAGTTCAGTCCCTGCACGACAGAGCAGCAGAGTGCAACAGTGATTGTGTGCATGTTACGTTTTTACTGTACTAGTTAATAAATCATTAAGCTAGCTAACTAGCTTAGCTAAGTCCTCTAATGTTAGCTTATCGTCTACGCTTTTCTATATATATATATTTGTAGGCATATTGTTACAAGTTACTGTTAATAAGCAAGACGTGCCACGTTTTCGTTGTAATACGTATCAATAGGAACTTTTTTTTGTCAGTATTTCAAACAAGAAGATCTTTGTTTTATTCTCTGGTGAATCCTATGGCAATTAGATGTAATGCAGGTGTGCTTCTAGGAGCTCAGTTTACGGTCACCTGTTCTATTAAAACAATTCTGAGGCTTGGGAACTGTATTTAATGTTTTTACATAAAGATTACATCTTGAAAATGTCCAGATAAAAGACTTATATTTTAAATATGGTGTTTTTCTGGCAAGTGGCTATGGTATAAGGGTATTAATAAGTAAGTAATACATACTAAAGTGTAATCACATATGCAATGGTTTTCACTAAACAAACCAAAATGTACAAGATTAACTTAAGCTGAATTGTTGTTTAGCTTACTGTGCTCTTCTCGGGTCTTCAAAACAGTTTGGGTAAAGGCACTTATACATGTGGGGTGGTAGTGACAGTCTGATTTATAATAAGTGGTATCAAATGAATGAAAAGCCATAGGATTTAGCACCGTTCCTGTGATCGTGGGATAGCTTTATTTAATTTGTGTAACCACAGCCATATTTACTTCACACCAACACGTGAGCCAGCATTGCCCGTGTGTGTTTTCAATCTACTCGACACCCGTAACACGAGTCAACAAAGGCGTTTATCTGCCCGTCAGAGGCGTCCTCTTTTCTTCCTGCACGTCATGAACTCGATCTTTTCAGACGTCTTTCTTTCTCTGCAGATCAAAACAATCAGGTCGCCCTGGGATGCAAAAATGTACCTTACTATGTTATTAACCATCTTTTTTTTTGTAATGATGATACACAAAGGCATTTTCAAGGTCTGCAAACCTCATAAAATGTATTTAGTTTCATTCCAAGCTTCCATTGAGGTTTTCGAATTAATAATAATTCATTTATTTTATATAGGTTTTCGAATTAAGTGGAAAATAGGTCTTTCTTTTACTACAGTGAGAATGTTGTTTTTGGAGGGCTAGACACAAAAAAATATGGATTGAAGCAGAACATTTAATAAGATAAAAACATGTTTTGAATTTGGAAATGATTACTGTACATCTCTCATAAATCAATACCTTTCCACAGTAAGTGCTCGCTGTCCTGAGTTTTAGAATAAAGCTCAAGCTTAGATTTTGCATTGATAAGGTCATGGAGATACATTTTCTTGTCAACACACACACTGTGTCCTCGTCTGTCAAAATGACGGCGGCCTTCAGACTTTTCCATCAATGTTAAAACAATTCAGTCAATGTCGCAAAAATATTTTCTTAACACCACCTCTGATGAGAGGATTAATTAAACTAGATTCTTAACCATCCCCCAGCCACAGCGGCCTATTGATTCTTCAGTGTATTACAGTGACATATTAGTATTGATATTAATATTTGTCTCTGTGTATCCGCAGCCTCCAGTGCGTGAAGGTCCAGTAACACGCAGCGCCAGCAGAGCCGCCTCCCTTCACTCTTTGTCTGACGCCTCCTCTGACTCATTCAACCACTCACCTGGTGAGTCCTCTTCCTCCTCCTTCTCCTCCTCCTCCTGCTGTCCTTGAGGCTTTCATTCTTCAGGGTTCACTTCAACAAGTCACAGAGCTTTTATAAAAACAAACACACATAGGCTGATTTCATACTGAGTTTAAGAGTGCAAATGAAAGCCCATTCAACATCTATATTTGTACATTCTGTTACTGCACAAGGCTTCTCCCTGGACAAATAAACTCAATACTCGTGAAGTATTGTCCTTGTTCCTGCTGCTAGTAACTACTATATAGTTTGCTGCAAGATATCTATTTTACCGTGTTACTTAACAACAAAATGCCACAATAGGGAGCGAAAAACGCAGTTTTGGAAAATAGGGAATGTTTTTGTTCCTATTTGAAATTGATTATTACAACACAATGGTTTTAAACAAAAAGTCTCAAAATGTCAGTATTGACTGAAGTGAACAGGTTTTAAAATTGCCTTTAATTCACAAACATATTATTTATGAAAGTTTTTGCTTGAATCATTTTAGATTCAGTATAGTTAGTCAATGCAAGGCTAAAACTAGGGCTGTGCAATTAATCGTATTTTAATGTCGATTACGATTTTGGCTTGCAACGATTACGAAAACAACGTAATCGAAATAAAACGATTATTTTGCTGTATTCCCTTTCTAAATGATGCTCTCAATAAGTCTTGCGTTATACATCCTGCCCGCGCGTGCGCTTTCGCCCCTCCCTAAAAGCCCTCTCGGCCAGGTTGTGTTGTGACTTGCAGTCTGTTTAATAAATCCATATAAACACGTTACAAGGGAAGCTTTAGTTGCCGTGTCTTTATTCTCCGGTCTCTAGCGTCAACTTTCACTAACCTCGTCATGCCGGAACCTCTTAGCTCGCTATTTCCGCAGACTACTATTGTAGCAGTATAATTAAACATTACAGGTTGTGAGTGACATTAGTTATCATATTTATATATGTTTAGTAGGTTGTGGAAGTGCGCTCCAAAATATTTGTTGATCTTCTTTATTGGTATTTATTATTTTGATATTATTTATTTAAATGTAGAATTTAAATTAATTTTTGTATTGGTTCTTCAGTTGAATTATACTTAAAGTTCAGGGTAATCAACTGTTAAAACATACTGTTCAAATTATTATTATAATTTGTTTTAAAGTTCAATAAATGGATGTTTTCAAAGTCAATGAATAATCATATTTAATAATCGTGATATCAATATTGACCAAAAATAACCGTGATTATGATTTTTGCCATAATCGAGCAGCCCTAGCTAAAACTATTGCTTATAAACAAATTCAATATTAATATATACAGATAAGTTACAAGAAAACCCTTTTTAAAGATTAACCAAAACACAAAGAATGTAATAAATCCTTATGAACTGTACAAACTGTGATCAGTCCCCATTAGTCATGACTTTGGTTAACCCCCTGGACATCTTTATATTAGTGCCACTGTAATGTCATTTGATGTATTTCCTTGTTTTCCATCTCTTTAGCTTATAATGTTAGCAATGTTCCTTTTTCTCACCTCTCTTTACCTTGTTGTTCATCTTGTGTCCTATCGTCTCCTCAAACAGAGTCTGTGGACACCAAGATGAACTTCACCAGCCTGTTGATGATGTACCAGGACGGGGCGAGCAGCCCTGACTCCAGCGAGGAGGACCAGAAGCTCTCCATGCTGCCCCACCTGGCAGACCTGGTGTCCCACAGCATCCAGAAGGTCATCGGCTTCGCCAAGATGATCCCAGGCTTCAGGTACGAACTGCCATGATGGCTGGTAGATGTTCAGGTTCATCACAGGAGAGCAGCAGGGACTACTGTCTTGCACCTTGTATTTTTCTTCCTATCACTCAACAAAGTCAGATTTATCTTTTATGTCACAAAATAATATGCAATACTGCAATTTAATGTCTTCTATTGGTGGGCTGAGACAGATTTTTTAAATTTTGTTCTACTCGAGGAATTTAAAATGAGACATTGGATCTTACAAGATAACAATATCGTTTGATCTTTATCTTATAAAAAAACAAATCTATTCATTGTTTGAGTCATTATCAAGCGAAAATGCCAACTATTCGCTCGTTCTACTCTCTGAAACTGATTTGCTGATTCATTGGTTTTAAATAATAATGATATTCTGTAATAATATTTCCATTCGTCCTGCAAAATTATGGTGGACATGTTTATGTATCGACATTTTATGGAAAAAAAATCAGAAAATAAAAAACATAGAAAATGAGACTGATCATGAAAATAATTGTCAGATTAATTAAAAGACACAATTTGTATGTTGTAAGGCATTATAGACTGGATTTGAATTATTCACTGGTTCACGCTCCGATGATTGGATTACTTTTCAGGTTTTGGTTGTCTTTAAAATCCAGTGTTTCTTATTTTACATGCAGAACTATTTGAAATGTATTACTTTTTTTTATTTGAATCTAACTTTTAAAATGTTTAAACTACTTCTGTTAAGATGAATCATTTTCTTTACATTTTATAGCTTTATTCATTTTTAAGATTTTTCATTAATTAATTTATCTTTCTATTTTTACTAATTTGTATATTTATTTGCCTTGTTTTTCTTTTTAATAAGCTGTGTTGTATATAAGGTGTCTTAAAGGATTTCCGAGTAGATTGAATCAATTCTCCTGAAGCGGCCTTTGCTCCCAACTTTTTTCATAAATATATATGAAATCCACTGGTGCAATAAATCATATTGTGGCCATGTTGAAAATGAAACTTCGTTCCCCTGCAGCTCTCTGCTGCTTTGCTGAGTTCTGTAATGATTTGTTGTAAAATCCTGCTACATCCAACCAGTAGCACGTACAATCACAAAGGCTAGCAGCCCAAGCAGGCCTCTCCCACATGCAGAGCACTTTGATTTGCTGCCTGCCAGTATGCAGGACAGCATTGGGTGAGGTGAGATGTTATTATCGCTCCCAAACAAACAAGCTCTTCCAGGAATACACAGGAACAAGCTGAGCTTTATAAATGCACGCTGTGCTGAGAGATAAGTTTCTAAATGTATGCACCAGTGTTGTAGTCAAGTCACCAATTCACGAGTCCAAGTCACTCTCGAGTCACCACTCTTCGAGTCCGAGTCCGAGTCCAAGTCCGAGTCACCAAGGGAGAGTCGTAGTCGAGTCCGAGTCCAAGTCCGAGTCACCCAAGGAGTGTCCGAGTCGAGTCCGAGTCCGAGTCATCATTACCTGTGTTCGAGTCCGAGTCCAAGTCCGAGTCACCTAAGAAGAGTCCAAGTCAAGTCCGAGTCACAAGTCTTCATGTATTAATCTTCGTGGATACATGTGTTGAAATGTAGATGCTCCTCTACATTGCTTTTATCCTGTCATGTTATACTAATCTGTCTATTGAACTGCTGTGAAGCCAGTTTGGCTACAATTCTTGTAATAGGTGCTATACAAATATAAAGCTTATTACTAATATTAATATTATTAATCCAAGTCATCGTGCGCGAGAATTCACGAGTCCGAGTCCGAGTCGCGTCAATCAGTGCGCGAGTCCGAGTCGAGTCACGAGTCCCAGAAAATCGGCACTAGAGTCCGACTTGAGTCCGAGTCCAGGACTCGAGTACTCCATCTCTGGTATGCACATACAGAGAGCACATAATGAAATAATAGAGGAGGCACATATTGGCATACATAATGCATACGTGTGTGTTTGCATGTAACGTAAACAGGAATATAAACAGAGAGACCTTATATTTTTGGTATATTTACATATATTCCTTCTGCTTGCCTTATTATGATCTCAGCTGTGTGTAGTTAGGAGGCTTTCCTGTGGGAAAATAAAGAGAATTTATGCAACAATGTCATAACGTATAGCTGTGTCGTCAATGTTGAGAGCTGCATTGTTAGGGCCAAAACTATTTTCAATTTTGGTTGACAATTAATTGTCCTACAAATAATTACACAAACTTTAAAGGGGCCTTAACCTGCTTTTCAGGTTTTCCCTTTCCGGTAGTGGGTTATATGGGTTTTTGTGCATGTTAATGGTCTGCAAAGGCTAAAATCTAATAGTTTCCTCAAGAGGGAGTTTCTTTCCCACACACTCCCCCCCTGCCTGAAACGACTCAATAGGACTCAATGTTTACTTCTGAAACATGTGTCTGCAGAGGCCTGTACTACGAAGCCGGATTTTCGCTTAGCGAGCTAACTTCAGGGAAAACTCTGGGTTTCCGGTCCTACGACGCTGGTTCACTTCTTACCGGGCTAGATCTCCATGGTAACTTATGCTGAACGGCAAACCTGGGGCCTGTACTACGAATCTAGTTCAACATATCCTGGATATGTTTTGAGTTATCCGGTTTACCTAATCCAAAACAAACCCGCTCTCGCTAAACGTTCCTACAACACGGGTTATCAACTCGATCGCTCAAGCCAGCCGTGTCCTATCTAGTTAGGTGCGCGTTCACATAAAAGGGGTGGTATTTGGAGCATTCGACCAATCACAAACATGGACAAGCCGCGTACTGACAGCGCAGCGCGTCATACTTCCTGAATGAAAAGTCAACTATAATATTAGACATATGAAGAAGTTAAACTTTAAACATCCATGACTTAAACACTTTATCCAGGATAAAAGCCACATAGTTGCACCTGCAAGGTGAATACAGCTGGTAAAAGAAAAAGTGTTTGAATGCGTACATCAACAGGTTTATGATATCACAGCCCCCCGTCTAAGACACGAGTGGATCTGACTTTAATTACATTTGACTCGAGTGTTTCGTCAACTTAATGTGTTGCTTAAAATAATACTTCTGCTTCTTGCACGGCCAGATACGGCTCAAGAAGCTGACTCCGATAAGGAAATATATGATAGGCCTACATTATGATGTGATATGATGTGATATGAATGATAATGGGACACATCGACGTCTGCACTCACAGTGCCACGAACTGTAGGCTACGTAATGTTACTTTGATCCGGTTACTTATGTTGTGGCAGATATTTAAGTAAGCTTTCTTAACGCTAATGTTATAATAGTCAGATTGCTCTGAAGATGGGAGGTGATATTCTATTCATTTTCACGTTCACACGGTCGGTGATTTTGGCCGGCCGTCTTTCCTGCAACGGCCGTTTAAACTGTATTTCCTTTATCCTGTAATATGACTTGATCGCTTTAAACTCTGCACACTGTTGTTATCAGCTGTTCCACCATGGTTGCTACCTCAACCTGTAATAGATGTATCCTTATTGAAACGGTCTGAGGACAAGGATTTAACATGGACATTAAATAAATCAACAGTAGGTGGCGATATATGCTCCAAGTGGAAGCGATTCGCCATTAAAGCAAAGAAGAAGAAGAACTCCGCACAGTTGATCTCTTATCCTGGAACCTATCCTACTCCGGAGCAGGCTAGCCATTCAGCATAAGTTATCTAGCCCACTAAGAAGTGAACCAGCGTCGTAGGACCGGAAATCCCTGAAGTTAGCTTGCTAAACGAAAATCCTGATTCGTAGTATAGGCCCCAGGTTAGCCGCTCAGCATAAGTTACCATGGAGATCTAGCCCGCTAAAAAGAGAACCAGCGTCGTAGGACCGGAAACCCCGAGTTTTCCCTGAAGTTAGCCCGCTAAGCGAAAATCCTGCTTCGTAGTACAGGCCTCCGATCTGTCCTCCCTTCCCGTGAGAAGTACTAATGTTGTTTTGTGGTTTTGTTCAAGTGAATTCTCATCCCACTTCATTTGCACCACTTGAACTGCTGTTTGTTTGTTTGTTTTCCACACACTGCCAAAGGACGTCACCTTTGGCATTTGCTGCTGTAGTTAGCTAAAAGCTATTGCCGAATCTGTGTGTTACAGTGTTTCTCTTGTGTCTTTAGTGAGACATATTTGTTTTATCTTGTAAGCAGATCTCTAACTAATCTTTTTTTTTCTAAAATGAACCAAAGACAAAAATACTTTTTTAATTTTGGTCACATTTTAGTCATTTTGATCCATCTTAGTTTGAGTCCATGGCAACTCAAAACCTTTACTCCAGTTTTTGTCAACAAAAGTCATTATATTTTAGTCAACTTTTGGTCTATATTTCTTGTCAAAAGGTTTTTTCTTTTAATTTTGTTATATTTTTCAAAAGAAACGTTGACATTTTTGTGAAACGAAACTCACAACATTTTATCCTATTACCATCCCATGAAAAACACAAGTTTAATTATTAAGAATGCAGTTTTGCTTAAAATGTCCATATTAACGTTTGTGACTCTGTGTTCCAGGGATCTGACGGCAGAAGACCAGATTGCTCTGTTGAAGTCGAGCGCCATCGAGATCATCATGCTGCGTTCAAATCAGTCGTTCAGTCTGGAGGACATGTCCTGGAGCTGCGGAGGACCCGACTTCAAATACTGCATCAATGACGTTACAAAGGGTTGGTTAATCCTCACATCCACAGCACCACAGTGAAACTAAATAAACAAGAGTGGCGGTTTCATGAGTTCTAACTGCGCAATCAATAAATAAACACATGAGCAGTTTGTTTGGATAGAGCATGTCAGAGACGCTGCTTATTGATTTCACCACCTGCCAATACACACAGTCCTCTACGGAAGCACATCTTGCCAGTTAGAAAAAAACAAGATGAAAAACGTTAAAACTAAATATATCCTCCTGACTTAACATGTCACAGAAAATAATAGTTTCACAAAACAATGACTTAATATCTCAAAATAATGACTTAGTTCCTCAAGAAAAAAAACTGAGAATCTCTAAAGAATGTCTATGTATCTTGTTTGTTTGTTTGTAGCCTTTATTTAACCAGAGGCCTGTACTACGAAGCTGGTTCAACTTAACCTGGATATGTTGGAGTTAGCCGGTTGGCGTAATCCAAAACATACGCGCTGGCGCTAAACTGTACTACGACGCTGGATATTAAGTGGATCGCTCAAGCCGCCGTGTCCTATCTAGTTAGGTGCGCGTTCACATGAAAGGGGTGGTATTTGGAGCATTCGACCAATCTCAAACACGGAGAAGCGTACTGACAGCGCAGCGTCATACTTCCTGAATGAAAAGTGAACTTTAATATTAGTCAAATATGAGGAAGTTAAACTTTAAACATCCATGACTTAAACACTTTACCCAGGATAAAAGCCACATAGCTGCACCTGCAAGGTGAATACAGCTGGTAAAAGAAAAAGTGTTTGAATGCGTACATTAACAGGTTTATGAAATCACTGCCCCGTCCAAGACACGAGTGGATCTGACTTTAATTAGGAGAATTTGACTCGAGTGTTTCGTCAATTTAATGTGTTGCTTAAAATAATACTTCTGCATACAGTATGTGACACTGTGAGTGTTGCACGGCCAGATACGGCTCAAGAAGCTGACTCAGATAAGGAAATATATGATACATTATGATGTGATATGATATGAATGATAATGGGACACATCGACGTCTGCACTCACAGTGCCGCGGACTGTACTTAATGTTACTCTGATCCGGTTACTTATGTCGTGGCAGATATTTAAGTAAGCTTTCTTAACGCTAATGTTATAATAGTCAGATTGCTCTGAAGATGGGAGGGGATATTCTATTAATTTTCACGTTCACACAGTCAGTTGATTTTGGCCGGTCGTCTTTCCTTCAACGGCAGTTTAAACTGTATTTCCTTTCTCCTCCTGTCATATGAATTGATCGCTTTAAACTCCGCACACGGAGCTCTGATTGGTCAGCAGGCAGTGCTTTCACTGAGTTGATCTCTTAGCCTGCCACCTAACCTGCTCCGGAGCAGGTTTGCCGCTCAGCATAAGTTACCATGGAAATCTAGCCTGCTAAAAAGAGAACCAGCGTCGGAGGACCGGAAAGCCCGAGATTTCCCTGAATTTAGCCGGCTAAGCGAAAATCCAGCTTCGTAGTACAGGCCTCGGGTGAAATCCCATTAGGCACTTTCACACCAAGTACTTTGCCGTACTTAGTTCCCAGTACTTAGTTCATCAGAACTCTTTAGTTCTGATGAACTAAAGAGCAGATCGCGTTCACACCGGAATAAGTCCCTGAGGGAGGTTTAGGCAAATGAAGCCACTGACGTCATTTCTTCTTCTTCTGCTTTGGGTTTACTGGCAGGCCGCAAACAACTTCACGGCGTATACTGCCACCCAAAGTCCCCGGCCGGAAATCCCCGGAGTTGGGGACTGGCTTCAGTAGAAGCTGCTGGGACTCCCAGCAGCTTCTACTGAAGCCTTCCGAGTAAATCGCCAGAACGCCGACACCTCCTCATCACTCCACCACTCCCATGTTTTTGTTTGTGTTGCCATAAGTTAGTCTCTCTCCGTTGGTGCGCTGGGCTAATGCTAATGCTAATGCTAATAATGCTAATGCAAGCAAATACAATGGCGGCTTCACAAAACCTTTCAGAGTTTTACGGGGCGTGGTTTGCAATTCGCCCAGCCAATCAGAAATGGGAACCTTTTTCTCCCATGAAAGTACCTGCTCTCTAGCAGGGACTAAAAAGGGGGTGAAAAGGTTTTCATGAACTAAGTTCTAGTTCCGGATTCTTTGGGTGTGAACGCAACATTTCAAGAACTATCAGAACTATACTGGGAAAAGTACTCCGGTGTTAAAGCGCCTATTGAGATCAACGATCTCTTTTTCAAGGGAGACCTGCAGCACGTTGGTTACACATGAAAAACATAAAAACAACAGAAAACAAAAAGGACGTCATACAACATAATTACAATTTACAAACCTATTCACAATGACAGGTACCAAGAGTATCAAATAGCATTTCATCCAGCCGAGCTTTAAAATGATGCAGGGGAACCAAAAGGCTCAGTTTCCAAAAACATTGCAGAGTGTTCCAAGCTAGAGGACCTGCGCACATAAAAGCTTTAGTACCTAAAACAGTGCTAGCACTTGGCACATGTAATAAAAACACATCCTGGGATCTTAGGCAATAGCTACTTGCGATTCTCTGTGAGATCAGAGAGCAGATATAAGTTGGTAGTTTACCCAACATGGCTTTATAGATGAATATGTACCAATGACTGAGCCTCTGAACAGTAAGTGATGGCAAACCTGCCTTGGTATACAGTGTAGAGTGATGAGTAAGTGCTTTACAGTTAGTAACAAATCTCAGCGCACTGTGATAGGCGGCATCTAACTTGAGCAGGTAATGGGCAGGTGCATTCATATAGATCAAATCACCATAGTCCAGCACAGGTAAAAAGGTCACAGAGACTAGCCTTTTCCTGGCCTCAAGTGAGAAACAGGACTTGTTTCTGAAAAAGAAACTTGGCTTCACTCTCAGCTTTCTAAGCAGGTTATTGACCTGAAGTTTGAAAGAGAGGCAATTATCAAGCCAGATACCAAGGTATTTATAACAGGTAACCTCTTCAAGTACTTTTCCTTGCGCAGTAACAATATCCAAAGCTGTCTCCGGTGTCTTTTGGGCTTTTGAAAATAGCATTACCTTAGTTTTATCAACATTTAAAAGAAGGTTAAGCTCAGAGAGCTGAGTCTGAATAATATTAAAAACAGCCTGCAATTTAACAACAGCCTCCTTAATCGAGGGACCTGCACAATACATCACAGTATCGTCCGCATAACAATTTAAAGTTGCTTCATCCACATTTTGACCTAAACTGTTGATATAGATGGAGAATAATAGTGGACCTAAAACAGAACCTTGTGGTACACCATTTGTAATGTTGAAGCACTCAGAAGTGAGCCCATCAAAATGAACACATAGGGACCTTTCAGAGAGGTAGTTCACAAACCACCCCACTGCATGGCTGGATATGCCAATACTGGCCAGCCTCTGCTTCAGGATATGATGATCGACGGTATCGAAAGCTTTGGAAAGATCAATAAACAGAGCTGCACAACTCTGCTTTTTGTCTAAGATACCCGCAATATCCTTCACCACTATCTCAAAATAATGACTTAGTATCTAAAAATAATTACAAGTTTGACAAAAAGATCACTTAAAGGGGACCAATCATGCAAAATGCACTTTTTGATGTCTGTTATACATAAATATGTGTCCCCGGTGTGTCGGGGAACTCACGCAGCGTCAGAAAATAAAACCCTCTTTCTTTTCCTCCGTACCCAAATCTCTAAAAACGGGGCTAACGGAGCTGATTCAGATTTGCGTCCGATATGACGTAATATCGGAAATGTGGGCTGGCTTTACACCCACGGCCCTATCAGAAACGTTGCTATCAGAAACAATGCCCGGCTGTTTTGGACGTAATATGGTCGGTGCATGTTTACATTAGCATCGCTAACACTCAGAGCTAACCTGTACTGGAGAGCATGTGTGTGAAGAAGCAGGAAATAAAAAGGAACTCACCTTGTGGTATAACCGGCAAGAGAGAAAGCCTTTGAGCTCCATACTGTTTCAGAAGTTATCCTTGATAATCCATGATATGGCGTTTCATCACCCCAGTATCTGCCGGTAGAATCTCCCGCATGAGCTCAGCCCCCTCCTTTTTTTTAATCAATTTTCTTTTTTTAAAGCTTTATACCCCAAATCAGCACTTTTGGAACAGGAAGTGAACTAGAAAATGCATTTCCTGCAGAAAATGCATTTCCTGCAGAAAATGCGTGCGAATGCTGTAAACTGTGAACATTTGTGGCTGAATTTAGCTGAAAATGCAGAAAAAGCTGAATATGTTATTAGCTGAATGGTAACTGCTTTTAGCTACAAAAATGCAGAATAAGCTTAATATTTAAAAGAAAAGGTTTAAAAAAAGGTATAAACAACAACATGTATAGCCTTGATGTCCTGAAATAGCTGAATAATGTAATAGTTGAATGGTTTCTACAGCTGAAAATAGGCTGAAGGAGTTTAATATCAGATGTAAGTAGTAGTGAATGAATTTGTATTAAGATGAGAAAAGAAAGTAAAAAGGCTTGGGAAAGCAGCAGAATATTTGAACTGCAAACTTTTGAACTAACTTGATGGTGAATTATCTGTCGCCATGGCAACGCCATTTTATGACACCCCATAATACGCTTAGATGTGTTGATGGCTGCATCATTACCAAACCTGTGAAGTTTTGGGCCTTTTCGAGCATTTTCACTGAAGTCATGAGAAAACCGTGTTTCATGGTGAGCATTGTGTTGCCATGTCAACGGCATTTGAAGAAATCTCAAAACACACATGTGAAGTTTGAGCACTTTTTGAACATTTTCATAGGAGTTATACATTACATTAGGAGGTTACATTACTCTCTCTCTTCTCTTGATCGCCCTCTCTCTTCTCTTGATCACCCTCTCAATCTTCTATCGCCCTCTCTCTCTTCTCTTGATCGCTGTTGGAATGAAGTGTCTAGCTGAAAGTATGTGGAAGGAGAAGCATTTGGCGTAAGGTGTAGTTAAAGAGGATTTAAAGGCTCCTCCCATTGACTTCCATGTGAAAAAAAGAGTTTAAAAAGCTGAATATTTCAAGTATAAAACATTTTTAAAAAGTTGAAGGTTTCCCATCGATTCCTGAACAGGCTGAATAGTTTAATATTTGAATGGTTTCTGTAGCTGAAAGTAAGCTGAAGTTATGGAGAGCCAAAGTATTGGCTGAAATAAGGGGAAGAATAAAGAATTGAAGAACTATAGTGGAATGCTGTGGCACAGCATTCCACTAAATAGAGGGATATGAGGCATGGCTAGAATGGGTGATCTGTTTGGTATTTTGAGCAAAACACTTTATAGACATGTTATATATTTTTATATATCTGAGACCTATGCTATTGCCTAAAAATAGCATGATAGGTGACCTTTAAGTATCTTAAAATAAGAACTGATGTGTCAAAATAATGAACAAGAATTGCAAAAGAATGAGTTATGTTAAAGGTACAGTAGGGTAGGTAAGAATGGAGAAACCAGCTCGAGTGCGCTAGAATTTGAAAGTAAGCAGCCGAAAAAAATCTGCCCCTTCCTTCAGACTTCCTTACAGAGCCCCTCCTCCAACACACACGAACGCGCACATGACCAATAAGGGCACGAGATAAGGTTGTACACAGATGGTAGGCCATCCAGTTATTTTAGCCGGGGCGGTGAAAGTGATTGGTCGTACTTTTTACAGTACTACGGCTTCCACAGATGACATTTTTTTATGTATTTATTGTCAAAGCATTTAATATATTCATTGCTATCGGGATGTTAAGAGCATTCCATGGAATATAACAAAAAGTGTTTCTGAAGTGAATTACCTACCCTACCTTTAAGTGAATAAATAAAGAGTATTTCAGAAAATGACTTATATTTTGAAATAATTACAAAATAATGTGTCAAAAAGAAAGTTTCTCATCATTGTGTGATACTAAGTCATTATACGTTTCTCATTATAAAGACTTTTACAATAAAAACATTTCTTTCAACACATTGGCATAAATAGGCTTCCATACTTCATCCTTGTGTAGCCAGCACTCCCGGTGTTTCCACCAAGGCCGCATCATTGAGCATTGCATTGGCAAAAAGTTCCTTTGCACGCAAGTACACAGTCTCAAGGACAGAAGCGTGTTCAACGTTGAAGCTGATGACACAGCTATGATTCCTTTTTTCTTTTTTCTTCTCACACCTTATATAACGCACCCTTACAAGCGTCACCCACATGCTGCTTTTCTATGCACACTTGCACATTACTGTGAGGTTTTGACTCCAGGTATTTTCATGGAAGCAATAAAGCAGCTACACACACTCAGTCCTTTTTCACTCACACATGCGGGGCAGGAAGCAATGCTCTCTGTCCGCAATGGGAAAATAAACATTCTCTACTGCTGTATAGAGTGTGTTTTCACTTATAAATCAACAATAAAGCACAATTCATGTTTGCAGCACTAACGGTGTGTTTGTGTTCTTTTTCATGTTAGCGGGTCACACTCTGGATCTGTTGGAGCCGCTGGTGAAGTTCCAGGTTGGTCTAAAGAAACTCAACCTGCACGAGGAGGAACACGTGCTGCTCATGGCCATCTGCCTGCTCTCCCCAGGTACTGCTTGTGTGTTCCAGTGTTTTTTTTTAAAGAGAGTGTTACTAGATTGACTAATAACAACACCATGTCAGGAGAGCACAAACAGTTTAGGTCTTCAATACTGAAAAAACATGAAGGTACAACACAGTGTTAGAAATGAATGACGCATATCTATGCTGTTTGTGCTTCATTGGGCTTTTCAGCTGAAAACAGTGAATTAACGTAATAATTGAACGAGGCCATGGAGAAGGAAAGCCGCTTCAAGAATAGATGACGCATACTCGCTGGAAAACTCAACATTTTCCACAAGCTTGAACACTTTTTTTCAGCCAAGGATGGCCTTGTTTTAAACATATGTTCACCCCCTTAGAGAAAGGAAACAAGGGCAGTGATCCACATTTTTCATTGATGTTTTTGATGAAGTTTAAAATAAGTGGTAGAAAGGGATTGTTGTAATTTTGTTAGATAAACGTCCTACATGGCTGCTGCTAGGTGAACCATTAATACAGGTGCGTGCATCCATTTGTGTGAACATTTTGTTTTGAGAAAGTTCAAATGCCAACAAATTTGGATTGATGCTGACTTCTCATAAGATTGGATGTGGATTTTCCAAATTATCACATCTATCGTTTTTCAAATAATTTCGATTTCACGAGTCGAAAACAATCCTGCGCAGCCACCACTGTAATGCAGTTCTACAAGTAGTATGAAACTAATAATATATATATTAGGAATGTAGAATATTAGTTTGATCACTACAGTCTAAATCAGGGGTCTGCAACCTTTTTGACCAAAAGAGCAATTTTTCCCCCTTTTCCAACAATTTGTTTTGTCTGGAGCCGCAAAACATATTTGATAGCTTATAAAGTTGTATTTATTGTTATATCATACACAAAAACTACAGTTTTTTTGCATGTATTATTTATTACATTATAAAACTGTTGACCTCTAATAAGAAACAAAGAACTCTTATAAGGAGAATACAAAAAAATACACAGGACTACTTTAAAATAAATTAAACACAGCACTTGGGGAGTCCTCTACACATTTGAAGGAATAAAAATACAATTAAAATGGGCCCACTTTGAAATAAATAAAACATATAGCTGAACCCTAAAAAGAGTGAACTGATTGAATTATGACTGAAGGTCGTCAGCTGTCTTCCTCTTCCGTGTTTTTCCTCGATACGTAAAGGCTGCAGCACCTTTGAGAACTTCTCTCCACATATCAAACATACCGGTAAGCCAGCATCGTTTGCTGTGAAAGCAGATAACTCTCCACGCAGAATGAAACCCTCTGTGTTCCTCCGATACTTTTATTTTCTCTGATTTATCCATAGTTCGCTCATCGAGCCAGGGCTCAGGTTATTCACCTGCAAGAAAAGGCGCTGGCGTGGGACCGTAGCAGGATGTGACGCATATTTTAGTTCACCTAATTAAAACCGTTTTGTTTTTTATTTATGTGTCACAGTATCACCTCAAAATACAAGATACGAAACATTTTCAACCATGCAACAAAATATAAATAGTCCTACAAATATTTGTATTTTATTTCCTTCTTATTTATGTCTAAACTCAAGGGAGCCAGAGCAGAGGGCTTAAAGAGCCGCATGCCGACCCCTGGTCTAAATCAACACAACGATCTGACTGATGTTCTCTTTCCATCCATCCCTCTCCCCACCTGAACCCTTCTTTCCTCTTCCTTCTCCCTGTGCCCTTCCCTCTCTCATCTTGCTTTCCTCCTTTCCTCTTGGACCTCCCTCACAATGTTCCTCCACTGCCCCCTCTTCATCCCCTGACGGGTAGATCGCCCTGGAGTCCAGGACCACGGTCGCATCGAGCAGCTGCAGGACCACCTGTCGGAGGCGCTGCAGGCCTACATCCAGGTGAACCACCCGGGCGGACGCCTCCTCTACGCCAAGATGATCCAGAAGCTGGCCGACCTGCGCAGCCTGAACGAGGAGCACTCCAAGCAGTACCGCTCCCTCTCCTTCCAGCCCGAGCACAGCATGCAGCTCACCCCGCTGGTGCTGGAAGTGTTCGGCAGCGAGGTGTCATAGCAGTGGAGGAAGCCCGCTCACACACACACATACACACACACTCACCACACATCACAGGAAGATATACCGACCCCTGCCACCTTCTTTTCCCCGACGGAACCCCAGCTCTGATAGACACAAGGGAGAAGGATGGATAATCCCGTAGGTAGATGGTCACCTTCACCTCCTCCTCATCGTCACCTGACCTCGAGCGGCAAGGCTCCGGATTTACGGATTTAAGACACCTGGATATGCTCTGCATTTTTGCAGCACCTTGGATAACCAGATTATATTTTAACCTCTGGTACACAGTACCACATTAAAGGTCAGGCAGATATCCTGACTCTGGAGTAGATCGACATCCTGATCCTCTCCGAAATTCGCAAACTCAAATGAAATATCGCCTTTTTCTGCTCCCCTCCTTTCCTTCCGGACATCACTGCTAGATTCCTGCCATTTTCTTTTTGTTTTGACAGCGTGACGGATGTGACGGTCACATCCCCTTATAACCTTCATCCTCATAACAAGTGCGAGGAATACATTCACAGATTTACATCTATTAACCACGCTGGCACTTGTTAGGTACAAATTATACGCAAGCAATGTTCCTACACCTAGATCGCTATGTTGATTTATCGACAGCAAAGATATCCAAATATATTAAACATCAACACAGCCAGCTAGCTTACGATAATATAGTGGAAAAACTTTAAAAAATGCTTGGTTAAGACAGGCTGTGTTTCTGTGTATGTGCAGCTGGAGAAAAGAAAGGAAGTTACAGTAGGAATGTTTCAGTGTGGTAACGGTGACAAGAGAAGTGGGATTTGGAGTCACGGAGGTGTGGTAGCTGGAGGGAGGGATATGCTACGGTTGGAATTCCCTGTTCACAAGACAAAGGGAATTTCACAAAACAAGAATGTATGTATAATGCTATATAAATATAAATGATATAAGCTGATATATATGAATATATAAATATATATATATATATATATATATATATATATATATATATATATATATATATATATATATATACAAATATATATATATTTAAGAGAGCATGGTTGGAAGCAAATAGTGTTGTATAATGTAGAGGATCTGAAGGCCCCTCCTCAGTTCTGTGTGTGTCGTCACATATAAGAAAGCGCTGAGAAGTGTGTGAGGAGTCCTTTTTTATTTTTGTGATGTGTGTACAGTATATGAGAATCCTGATGGACCACAAGGGGGTGCGTGCAGGCTTTAACCCGAGAGTGCATGAATTGTGTAGACTGACATAAACAAACATTGTGGATAGAGATTATCCCCAAAAAGAAAATGTACTCGGCTGGTTAGATTGCTGCTAAAACAGTTAGGGCCGGGTAGTTGGACAGAAACCGACTTACCGGCTGTTGCCTCAGGGAAAAGTTTGTCTGATGATTTTGTGTACTTGGTGTTTATGGTGTGTGTGGCGTTAGCTTACAATCATAAGGCAGAGATCCTTTTCGAAGCTCTAGGCATCACTGTGACTTCTAATCGAACTACATAACAGTATAAGTAAGCTAAATGTTTTTTTGACAACAACATTTTTACTCCTTATCTGTTCATGAAAAACTTAAGATGGTTTGTACAATCCATTAGAGATCACTGTTAAAGCTGGTCTTCTCATTAAATGGCCACATTAAAAAAACAAAAAACAGTGATTTATATAAGCCTTAAGGTAATTTTATTCAGGGGAAAGTAAAGATGAAGGAAGCATTGTAACGTACAGCTGAACAGAGACCTTTTATAACGAAACACGTAATCAAGCGCCATACTTTTTTTTTTTTTTGGTCACATTTCGATCAATTTCAACACCAGCCACAGAAGCGAGGTTGAGGATGTTAAAACATCACTACATATCATTTCTCTCGACACAGTGCATGCTCACCCTCTCTCGCAGGCCTGCATCGCCCCCTTGTGGACAAACTCTGTAAATACCACTTGCTAAATCTGTACATAGTTAGAGATTAATGTAGACAAAATACTAAGAGAACTCAACTGTCGATGGCAAGATGCTCTGGAGATACAGCACTATATGCAATTAGGAGACGGACTCTTATGTTGTATTCAACTAGAATGGACAGAGGTGGAGATCCTGGTCATGTGACTGAGCTGGTCGGAGCGTTTTAAAAAAGACTGCTGGACACGGGTTGGACCAGAGAGCTTATTTTTACAGTATCACTTTCTATGATACCTATCTATACCTTAAATGCATTATAATCTGCTTATGGCACTGTCTCATTATTATTGGCCTTATAAATATTCTTAAAGCTTTAAAACAATAACAACTTAAGAACATGTTATAATGACTTATAAGGTCAAGTATCATACAACCTTATAATCACTTGTGTCATTATAGTCACTGTTAAGTGGTTGTGTGTTCTTGCATACATATATTGATATATACTTTAACCACTTAGAGTAATTCATATTCAAATTATAATGCATAATAGCAGAGATAATAATGCATAACGCAAAAAAGTTATAAAGCATTACAACTATAGGAGTGACAAATATAAAGTATCATGATGCTTGGCCTTATAAGTCATCATACAAATGTTTTATTTTGTATGATTGAATATTTTTGAGGTCTTTAACTATAGTGCTATAAAAAGTATATAACATATTTGAATGATGTCATAACGCATGGCCTCATAGAAAGTGTTACGCTTATCATTTTCAGCCAAGTTAAAACTGTTATATAAAACAAAGATACTGATGGTGTTTCACAGATCGACCTTTATTATAACACCTTTACCAATGTAATCCCTAAAATAATAATATTAATATTACTAATAATAATTAGGGGTGCATCATTTGGAGAAAAAAATACTTGCGATTACTTTGACTAATATTTTAATTGCAATATGATTCACGGTAACGGAGGGATTGATAATTTTGGCAAAATAATTGTCTTTGTAATAAAAAATATATATTTTAAGAAGAAGCTTTGTGTAATTTTAAAAGAGGATCCGAAACAAACAAACATGTGTTATCTCCTATTGTGCATCTTTCAATTTGAATATTGCACAAGTGCAAGTTCCGTCTTTGATACAATTCAAATTAATTGTGCAGTTCTTATAATAATGAATAGTAATAATAGGTGTCCAGCATTGGTCCAACCCTGTCCTGATGATGCTCTTATGAATGCGATGATGGGACTCCGATGAAATCCGACGTGTAATAATTGAAAGGCTTCATGTAGCCGAACATTCCCAGTGGTGGAGGTGTCGATCATTCCGACTGGCTGAGTCTCGTCGCACCATCCGGCAGCCTTTCTAATGGCGCGTTTCCACTACACGGCCTCGCTCGGCCCCGCTCGGTATGGCTGGGCCTCGTTAGGACTGGCTCACTTTATGGCGCATTTCCATTACAGTTTAGGAACTGGGGTAGTATCTATAGTAACGCAGTGTAGGCGGAGCCGTGACGTGATCTTCAGAGAACCCCAGAAAAACAACACAGCCGTTAGCTGTTAGCACTCAGAGCTCACAGCTCCTCATATCTGTTCAGAAACTAGACAAAAGTTAAACAAGTACAAACCACAGACTGCCTGTGTCATGGTGAATACAGTCGCTGCTTTATTTATGTCTGTATAGGCCGTTGTTGTGAGTGTGGACGGTCGGAGCATATACTGCGTTAGCTTAGCCAATCTCCATTTAGACAACACGCATTTTAAAAGGTTTTTCGCCTGCCGTCTGTCTGCAGACTTGTCAAAGCATTAATTCATGGTTTTTACTAACCGGTATCAGTATGTTGTTACTTCGGCATCATTTTGAAACGTGTATTACAATTAAATCACGGTCAAATATGTCCATCTTGTTGTAGTTGTAGCCCCCTTGCCAGCGATGCTCTCTCTAGTTTAGCATACTCAGCCTCGTTGTCTCTGGCCCTAGACCCGCGATTTTATGAGGCCAGAAAAACTGTGAATTAGGACCCGCCGGCCGGTACTAGGCCAAGTGGAAACGCAACCAAAGACGGGCCGCTGAAGTCACAGCCCTCTTAAACCGTGCTCCGCGCTGTAGTGGAACGCGCCATTAAAGACTCCTAACAGCTCAGTGTGTCCTCACCAGGAGGCGTCCGCTCTGTCCATTCCGAGCTTATGGATGTACATCTTTTCTTTTTCTCTGTTTCTAAAGTCTATCGATAAGCTTTTGACAATTATACAGTATATCCATTTCATTTTGGTGAAAATCTGTTTGTTTTTTTTCTCTTTATTTTCTTTTCAAGATTGTCAATTTTATTGTGTGTCAGCGTTTCCCTGCTAGCGCTTTGGCTTGCTGTGCTGGAGCCCGGTGGACTTCTGGAGCCTTTTTCCTACTGCAAAATGAACAACTTCATACGAATTAGTTGGACAGGGAACGGACTCGTTCTTGTTCCTTTTGCTTGTGGAATACGAATAGAACCACCTGGAGCTCCACCCAAGAGGAACAAACACACAGAGGAGAAACAATCGTTCCATTGACAAAGAAAAAGGCAGATCCCCGGCTCTGGAAAAAAAAAAACCCGACATGCGCTTTCCAGAAGCAGCATGTCAAACACAATCAAGTGATCATGAACTAACACTGCCTCAAATGACTGATACAGGAATTAGCCAATGGCCAACTGTTTTAGCAGCAGCATGGGCGTGCCTCCTCATCCGCCACCCAACCATCTAACCACCTCTTCTTCTGCAATAGCCAATCACAGCAGGATTACTCTTCATAGCTTTAACTCAGCAGCCACTCAGGCTCTGCTTTTGGTAAAAAAAACAAAAAACGGTGGTGCACCAAGGGCTGATGGGAGATTTAGCTGCTTTGGAATTGGACGTGTCACTTTCAAACTGTGAAAAAAAAAAACAGACTAGAAATCGGACCCAAGAAAACGTTGGTATTGGACCTCCAGAAGACTGTGTAGAATCTGTACAGAAGATGTTAGGAGATACAATTATTTTTAAAAATGAGAATCTACAGATGTAGTGACGTGTTCTACAGGCAGCGGCGACTGAGGGAAAGTCGCCTCCGGAACCCAAAGTGTGACATTAATTTTCTGACTATTTCTCGCATTGCAGCTTTTGGAATTTTAGACTTTAAAAAAAAGCGAAAGCAAATACGAAATCCATTACAAAAAAACATCAGTTATTTAGCTTTGCTCCGCTGTTGTTCGACATCACAATGGAATACTACATTTGTAACGGTTGTACATGACAGTCTTTGTTCACTAATGGCTAACGTGAGTATTGTAGCTGATGCTCTCTCCCCTCTCAACCCAGGTCAGCTCCACCTCAGTAGCCTTACTTTCAGAAACCTCAAAGCTGGATACATTTAACAGATACCTCAATATTTTACAGGATGACTTGTTCACATCAGCCTTTAAGGGAGCCAAACATACACACACTCACACTAACATGCCAGAACTCTCCTCAGTTTTTATTGCAAAACGTACAGTAAACTAGTTGCCAGTAAACCAGTCAGTATACCAGTGGATCCCAATGTTTCTACATGTTAACCGTTTTTCTGCTTTACTCACGAGATCTCTGTTGTCTCTATCCGACTCTATACTGATGACGCTCCGCTAAGCTTTGGCGTGGCGTTTAACCCAACATACTACCTCTCCCTCTCCGCACATATATATAATCACATATATATATTTGTCGCAGCATGATTGTGTTTGTGATAAAGCAACCATTTTTATTTTTTGACAGTAATTAACAAGGGTTCTTTTGTGTATATGTACAGTAGATTCCTCTGTTTTCAAATGCTGGATTTTTTTATACCTCATATCTCAACATAAGCCTACACATCTTTGGAGTCAGTTTATTGGAGACCTCATTACAATCACTTTGTCACTGAAGTCTGCAATGTTCACATAGCAGCTAAAAGAACCTCCGTTATTTTGAGCAGTGAACAATATCTAACCTTTTCGATAATAATAAACACCTTAACAAACGT